GACCTCGCAGTCTGTCTCGTCCAGAGAGAGGTCTTCGGAGATGGGCAGTGGCGGGAGGGGCCGGGAACCGCGTTCACAGAGGGCCGTGCAGGGGAAGGGGGAAGGGGGGCTCTTTATGGGTGTGAGCGGAGGGGGAGAAGCACACACGCCGTTCACCGAGAGTTTCCTAAAACCACACGCGACTCGCTCCTCTTCCCGCGGTCCCGGGTGCTCGCCCGGGGGAATGATAAGAGGGGCCAAGCTGGGCTTCTGGGAGGGGCCGTGCTCTGCAAAGTGGCTGCCGCTCCTTGGCGCGGACGTCGCAGCGCGCCCTGGAATGCACGAGACAGAGGTTAGCCAAAGAGCCGCCGTGCCCTCCCCAGCCGCCCGGGCTCCGGCAGCTTTCTGCTGGGGTATCCGACGCTCGGTCGCGGCAATCCCGAGGACACCCAGGCGACGGCCACAGGTGTAATTAGAGGCCAGAAGATTGCTAATGCACATGATCTGGTTCAAAGAACAAATTATCTCTTCTATCTTCCTTGGCCGTGTGCACGGTGCACACCCACACATCCCGGGCAGGTCTGGTGACGTGCGCAAAATTCGCAGAAGGGAGCAGCATATAATTTACGTGAATACCACACCACACCGGCCTAGCCATTTAAGAGACGCGACAATACGAGGCACGCAGGCTGTGAGGGAGATAAGACCGGGTCCTCACGGTTGGAGCCGTCACGGCATTAGGAGTGTGGACCTGCCCGCGATGCGCTACGCGCTCTTGACAAAAATCTAAGGACCACAGCGGTCACGTCACAAGCACCAGACAGCAGAGAACACCCTCGCAAGTGTTCATCCACACGTACACTCCCTGATCTCCCTCACACGGGGATCCAACACCAGTAATAAAGGGGAGGGATCTGGCCCAAGGTCTCCACAAGTTAAACATGGAACAGAGCCGGGCTTAGAACCCGCGGACTGTGAACGACGGCGCTTCTGCACCCAGGTCGTCAGGGCATCAGTGAGTCAGGGTGAAGGCGGGGAGGCTGAGGGCCCAACGCGTTCTCTTCAGAACCTGCCGCCACTAGGGGTCAGGCTACTGCTGGAAATAGTTCAGGTGGCTTCCTCGCTTAAAAGTCACCCCGGAGGATGCACCAGCACCATCCCCACTGTCAACTTCCCCTTGAAGCACCAGCTCCCTCCCCGTGGAGTTTCAGGACACGTACCAAGAGATGTGAGGTGCTCCTGGGCCGAAGAGTTGAGGCTGTAGGCCATGGTTATCGGGTCGATGTTCAAAAAGTGACTGAAAGGGAAGGAAAAACACCTTGATCGTGAGTAGCCACCATATTCTCGGTCTTGTTTTAAAATCACAGGCTGGGAGATTCCAGGGGACGTTCCGTCCCGCACTCACTTTTCAAACTCGCTGCGGCCGCCCCAGCAGGCCCTCACGGTCCTTAAGGCTTGGCCATCGTGCAGGAATCCGGTTTTCAACGGGACTCGAATCTCCTGGGCAGCAACTCCTGCTGTGGACATTGTGCCTTACTCTGGAGGTCTCTCACTGGGGACGCCTAGGGATCTGTCACCAACCAGCAGCTCGAGGTCCCTAGGGGTGGGGATGACAAAAAGACGAGAGAATAAACAATTCCGAAATACCCACACTAGCTAGTACCAGAGAACTTCAGGGGATGCCGGGCAGAAAAACGTAGTGACAGGCGTTCATTCAATTCCGACATCTTCGCATGAGCGAATTCTCACTTCTCATGATGGTACTTAAATGGAGACATTAAGAACAATTTTGGGGGGAAATACTAATCAAAGCTTTGAAACGTTTTCAGCAAAGTGAGCTATAATGTACGATGGGCAACAGTGGACTCCCACTGCGGCCAGACAGCTACACAGCACATCACGCTCACCTGTCCCCAGCATGCAGTTCTCTAACTTCCCATCCGACCTTCCAGGGTGCGGAGGTCACGGCCATGGGGCTCGCCGTCCCCCCAGCCAACAAAGCGATCTCAGAAATTACTGCGTTCAGTACTGCAGCTCGAACGTTCACTAAAACCCAGAGCTTCGACAGAACGAGAGATCCTACTGCGGCCCCAGGTTACCCCCCTGCCTGGCAGCTGTCTACAGGCTGTATTTCAGGCTTGGCCCCAGGAGGACAAATTCTCCAGGTACTGCCTGTTTTGAGAATAAAGAAAGAGTTCCAGGTGAAGATACTAATTTCCATTATCCTGTAAAAATCAAGTTCTGCAAGGCCACTAGCTTTGTCGGAGGACTGGACAGCTTCCTCCTCCCTCTAGAAAGACAAACTTAAAGGCACATTCTTCACATTCTTCTGCACGAAGTGCCTGGGGATCCGAGTCTTGCCTCGCTGCAAGGCAAGGATTACAGAGGTGAAGCAGGCGCCTTTTCCTCAATCTAGTAGTGCCTCAGTGTGAGGGCCCTCGTCCTTGTCAGATGGCCAGTGTCTGCGGTCCCCCAGGCCCCACACCCTCTTTCTAGAAGGGTTCGTTAGCATCCATCTCCGCTTTCTTCAGATATTCATGTTTGCTTATAGCCAGTCGAGACTTTTTCTTGTAGACACTAGGACGCAATGTGTCAACTCTCTGTGCAACACCGACCCCCTCTGGGATGTGCACAGCCACCTGGCGAGGCTTTCCCATTCTCTCACCAAGCAGGTGTGCGCCCCCTGAGAGCCGGGTGGTGTGCCAAGGACCCAGGGTGACTCAGATGAGCGAAACATCCGCGGTGGAGGGTGGAGGGGGTACACGGGCCATTTTGTTGTTGTTGTATGGACAAATCTGTCACCTGCTAGACTGCAAGTCCAGGAAAGAGGCTGGGTCCCGATCATCACTACCTGGAACACCGGAAGTGTTCAAGAGGTGAATGCTCGCTGGACGATTACTACCCGACCCCATCTGACTTTTACCATCGTCAGCATCCAATGTCTACAATGAATAAAGCACAGTCTTTTTTTTTTTTTTTTTTTTTTTAGCTACAGAGCTAAAACATAGTCTACGAGTGTTTACCGTTTGGTTTTCACACAAAAGGAAATGGAGAGCCAGCAGCAAAGTTTCAGGGACAAAGTGCAGATGGGTCCTGGTCACTGATCCTCACCTTTTTACCCTCCTAAAGTCAGCTGCCTCGATACGTTAGGCAGAGACTTAAATAGGTTTCAAACATTATTTCAAAGAGTCAAGCATCCTTTTTCTGTGATCCGTTGCTCAAAGATACAGGATGAAGAACAGGGGGAAAAAAACCACCACCCGCCATTTAAGAAATCTAAGTTAGTGGTAGGTCGTCTTTTGATTTGTCATTTTTGGTCTTTAGAGGATTGAAATCAAACACGTTGTGTTCTTACCTCACCTGGATTAAGGAAATCTACAAAAAAATTTTTTTGAAAGCCCATTTTTAGAAAACACTGCTTGGGGCTCCCTCCAGGCACCTGGCCTGTAGGTATGTGGCGCTTTCCCCCAGCGCCCCGCAAGCTGGGGCAAGACCACGGGGCAAGCATCCAGGGTGATGTAAAAACGAAAGGCCAGATAGGAAGAAGAATATGGTATTTAAGTAGTTTGAAAGCACACGTTTGGAGATCACTCATCCAGATTACAGGAAAATGCTGCGGGGGATTCTGGAGGCCCAACCCCCACCTGTCTGCAGGCCAGCAAGTGCTCTCGTAATTACTGTGTGTCAGCCTCCTAATGCCATCTAAATCTTAGCTTTCAACAGAATGATTGTGTAACTATCGCCTCTGCTGGAATGGCCTCGGAATTCTAAACTCACATTTCAGTGGCCCCTTAAAATTTCGTATACGTTCTCGAAAGTTATTTTTTATTCATTGTTCCCATCACCGACATGTTAGCTTTCTTAAGCAAAAAATTTTTTTAGTATAAAAAGAATTGTGTTCACTAAGCCAGCTCACTTCTGACCACAATAGTGTCTTTGTGTATTCATAGAAGGTGACCCTGCCTCCACATTTCAATGGGGAATTGTGAATGGGCCATGTTATGAAACTGTCCGGACTTCCTACTTGCTGCTCGGAGAAGCGAGCTTCGTGTTCTCTTTTGGAAAATAACTTCCAACTGCAGACTCGGGAAGGGGGACGTGCCGTAGGTTTGGGAGCAAGCGTTTCCTGCGTGTTCCTGGGGCAGCCGGCGGAGGCAGGAAGCCACCTCTTCCCCGCCTCCCTCCGAACTCCCCAAGCCTTCCATATGCACTCCTCCTAGGGGAAGATCAGCCAGGTCAACGTCAAGTCAAAAAGAAACACCACTGAGCCAGTGTTTCGAATCTTGTTCCAGTGTGACTGTCAAACTAAGTCTACCTGACAATTCATTAGGCAGCAACGGCAGAAACACGCGTACGTGTGCAGATCAGAGTCTCTAAGTACAAGATGGCATTCTTGGACGAAACACAAAGTAGGAAGGAGAACGTGCACGCAGGCAGCGCGGTGTAGGACGGGGCCTAAATGACCTCGGGTGTAAGAACTTTCCTAAAATCCATCAACTAGTCAGTTAAATAGCAATCCCAGATATGAACGACTTTTTCTTATTAACATCACTTTTTTAAAAAACTTCAAGACAAAATATAATATCCCCTAAAACCATCTGTTTCCTGCGGCAGCCCTCCCTCTATTTTCTCTCCTCGCAACCCTCGCCCCCCCCCCCCCCCCCCCCCCCCCCCCCCCCCAGTTTTGATCCACTGCGATGGCTCCAAGTCTACCAGACAGCTCCTCCCTCTCCTGAATCTCCACTCCAGCCCCGGCTCAAGCTTCCACTTTGCATTTCCTATTGTCTGGTGATTATCTTTCCACTTGGACGGTCCTCTGGCATCTGCAACTCTACAGACCGAACTCCTGTCACTTACTTCACACCCCATCCCCCTTCCCAAACCAGTTCGGGGTCTGCGAGGATCGGAGGATCAAGCTTCCACAGGCACCACTCTTCACCTGAGTTACAGGTATACATTCAACGACCAAGTTCCATAGCCTATTTCTATGCAGCTTCTCAAACCCGTCTTCCTTCCGTTCACTGGAACCACACTGCCCTGCGTGTGAAAATACCTAATCCAGCCTACACACCAGGACCAGATCAATATTCCTGACCTGGAGCTCAAATTCAGATCTTCCACTGCTCAAAAATCTTCAAGGGCTTCTAAATCAAAGCCCTTCAGGTTATGGCCTTGAAAACAAGGCAGACCCTGACCCACCTTTTTCAAACTCCGGCTTCTGTCTTCCCCAAATCTGTTAGAATCCACCTTGTCCTTGGAGGCCATCTGTCACACCACCTTCTCCACTCACCACTTCCCTTCTGAAAAGCCACAGCGGGGTCTCCACTCTTGCGCCGTTTTGTGCCATGCCCTGACTCCTTACCCATCCTCCAAATCTTTTGGGACCCTCCCCGCACCTCCACTCCCGGGTAGATCCTGGTGTCATTCATTTCTAGTAAATATTTACTAAATCGATACTGAGAAAATACTAATCTCGTTTTTAAAAAAGTAATGACAGGACAGATTCACGTTTACTGTAAATCAGCAAACTAAGGGATAAACCTCCTGATAATAATGTAACAAGTTCAGGGAAGCAGCAGGCAAGGCATTTGCATTAAATTCATTTCCAAAACCTAAAATGGACCATTTGCAGACTGGTTTCTGTTACTGTATATTTACTTAAGCAACCAGGGAAGAGCTTTCTGAAAATAACGAATTTCACCTTCTCTTCCACACTCTTCCTTTTTGTACCTACTGTTTTTGTTGCTAAATTTAAGGTCACTTTCCTTAAAGAAAACAAAAAAGGCTACCACCACAGAGCATACATACATGCTTTATTAAGGTGAAATCACATGCCTTTAGCTTGAGGGAAGTCACTTCGAAAACGTTTTTTTTTTTTTTAAACGAGGCTACCTTCAGAGGGTAACCTACATGTGTTTACCTTGCCACCAGATCTCATTAATAAATCTCAGAAGCAATCCACAAGAGGGGGAGGGGCACATTTTTGTCATACAACTCACCCAGTTCTGCCCAGTGCTTCCTTATTTAAAAGTGTGATGTAATTTCCTTCTCTCAATCTGGTTTGAGAACCTGATTTCTGTTTATTCAGGGTGATAAATGGGTCTTTTCAACCTTATTTAACAACTACCTACACGACTATTTCCTTACCAAGGGAGATAAAAGATAATCCTACTTAGAGCCAAAAATTTGTAAAAAGAAACTGATTTTGGAGCATGACAAATCCCATGATTTCGGATAAGCCAACCAAATAAACCAACATCTGTGTGTTTATCTTCAGTCTGAAAATGCCTAAAATAATCACCTTTCAGAACATTAAAAACAAAACAAAATCCATGACTTTTATTGTGATCAGTGTCTAAAGCACTAGCACCCAAGCTATTTGACACACTGAACATTTAGTTTAGCCGTTTTACAGAATTGTAACTTTTATTAGTAATACGAGAAACTTACTGATTCCATATTCATCGAACACATTCAGTGTTTACGACAGTTAGGGTGCTGCGTGATCTGAGTTTACTTACTAGCAA